AATATTTTGGATTTATAGAGTTTTCTATAATACCGATCGATCTGCCGAAGCATACATTGCTAAATGTTTATGTTCTTGCTATATATGTTTGTTACCAGGGCTGGGGCCATTAGATTGCCAATGTAATTAATTACATTACCATTACTTTTCAAATGTAATCATTACAATTACTTTCTCATCTATAACCCTAGTTCATTACTATTACCCATTACATTGAAAGTAATTAATTACTATTACCCATTACATTAAAAGTAATTAATTAATATTACCCATTACATTGAAAGTAATTAATTACCATTACCCATTAATGGGGTTTAACAGCTAGCCTACTGTTCTGCACCGCTGACATGGGGAAACCACCCTGAAACATCTCGAGGTACTTACCCATTACATTGAAAGTATTTTTCTGCCATGTTGGCCTATACCTAAAAATTCAAACTCAACAAAATCCTTGATTCACTATAACAAACTGTTACTAAACAAATCACATCCCGAGAAAATGAAGCCTAATGGGGTTTAACAGCTAGCCTACTGTTCTGCACCGCTGACATGGGGAAACCACCCTGAAACATCTCGAGGTACTTACCCATTACCCATTGCATCCAAAATATTTAATAACAGAAACGCATTATCTAACATCAATGCAAAAGAATTATATGATAACCCGCTACCCTGTTCTTGCTCTACGTCGTCCTTCATTTACGTGAGATTTTGTCTAAAGGACCCAAATGCCTGTTCAAAGAACTTAATTTCGGGAAATCAATCGACAGTGCTACTTCTAAACGCTCTACTCTTAGTAAGGATGAAATTATATCCAATCACAGATCTGTACTTACTTCATCTGGTACTCCATGTGGAGATACCTATACAGATCTGCCCTTGTTATATTGGATACCTAAACTACATAAAAATCCCTACAAGCAACGTTTTATAGCAGGTTCATCCCGTTGTTCCACAAAACCACTTTCAAAAATATTGACATCTATACTAACGGCAGTGAAAGAGGGTATTCAAAAATACTGTGATAAAATATACTCTCGTAGTGGTTTTAATCAAATGTGGATATTAAAAAATTCCAAAGAATTACTTGATGGTTTACAATCTAGATCACTTGCTTCAATCTCATCTATACAAACTTTTGATTTTTCTACTTTGTACACTAAAATTCCCCATAGTAAATTAAAAGCTCGGTTAAAAGACATTATTCACAGTGTCTTTTCTTCTAAATCGGGAAATGTTAGATATCAATATTTAGTTGTTAATTACAATTCTACATATTTTGTTAAGAACCATAGTGATTCCAAAAATAAATTCACCGCCAACAAGATAATTTAGATGTTGGATTTTTTAATTGATAATATCTTTGTTGAATTTGGAGGGGAAATTTATCAGCAAGTGGTAGGTATCCCCATGGGCACCAACTGTGCACCTTTGCTTGCTGATTTGTGTCTCTATTCCTACGAAGCCGATTACATACAGGCACTCGTTAAATCCAACAAACGATTAGTCAGACATTTTAATTTCACTTATCGATATATCGATGATGTACTATCACTGAATAATCCAAAATTTAGTGATTATGTAGAATTCATATATCCTGATGAGCTCGAAATTAAAAACACTACTGACAGTGACAATTACGCTTCCTACTTGGATCTGCGTCTCGATTTTGACAATTGCCATAAACTTAGTGTTAAATTGTACGATAAACGTGATGACTTTGACTTTCCGAACGCCGATTGTTAACTTTCCATTTATTAGTAGTAACATTCCAATATCACCAGCTTATGGAGTGTTTGTGTCTCAACTAATTCGTTACGCGAGAGCTTGTTCATTTTATTCTGATTTTTTAAGTACATCGAGGCATTTGTCATCTAAGCTTCAACTACAGGGATATTTGCGAACTAAACTTATTAAAACCTTTAAAAAGTTTTATGGGCGTCATATTGACTTGATTGGTAAATATAACATGTCTCTCTCAGCTATTATTCTAGATATATCTAATTGACACGTATACAATCTCCCTGATAATGTCTGTCTACTACATCGTTTACACTGTTCATCACGTGCATTTTGCATACCGATAGTCCATTGGCCAATCACGCTATTTTACCGAGATTTCGCCTAATAGTTTGGATGCAGCTATGGCGGGTGTGGTGCCAGGCAGGGTAAGCTTACTCTTCCGGACACCTGTTACCACTGTTTGTCGTGTATTTTGTACACTGTGAGCAGTCCATTTGCTGATTACACTATTTTGCCTGATTACACTATTTTGCCTCTACCGTTTGTTTTGGGAACACAACCGGTGTAGGCTGTCATTGATAGTCCATTGGCCAATCACGCTATTTTACCGAGATTTCGCCTAATAGTTTGGATGCAGCTATGGCGGGTGTGGCGCCAGGCAGGGTAAGCTTACTCTTCCGGACACCTGGTACCACTGTTTGTCGTGTATTTTGTACACGGTGAAAAGTCCATATGCTGATTACACTATTTTGCCTTATTACACTATTTTGCCTATACCGTTTTTGTTTTTTAGGACTTCAAATTTTGTCTAATGGTTTGGATTGTTCGTACTTGGTTTTATTTTATTGAAAGTAATTAATTACCATTACCCGTTACATTGAAAGTAATTTTAATTACCATTACCCATTACATTATGACTTTAATTAAAATAAAACAAAAACATTTTTTTTATAGAAATTAAAAAGACAACCTTATTTTTCTGCCATGTTGGCCTATACCTAAAAATTCAAACTCAACAAAATCCTTGATTCACTATAACAAACTGTTACTTAACAAATCACATCCCGAGAAAATGAAGCCTATAATGGGGTTTAACAGCTAGCCTACTGTTCTGCACCGCTGACATGGGGAAACCACCCTGAAACATCTCGAGGTACTTTCGAGGCCAATACCGGGATCGAACCCCGACTTTTCGGAGCAATCGCCGGTGGGGGCTTTTTTATGCTGTTTCTATGAAATCTGTAAATTTGAGTTTTTTTGCTGAGCTGATAAAATTGAATGTTATTTTCGGGCCCAGAAACGCAGCCACGCATCACCATCGACACCTTAATTTTTCAACATTTTATCGGAGGAGAGTTTCCACCCAGGACCTCCATGCAGAGAGAGAGAGATAAATGGGGTTTAACGTCCACTCGACACAAACTAGGTCATTTCGGGACTAACATATGGTTTAATTTTATTTACATAATTCGCTTGCGCGTAGGGGGCTTTAGCAGTGGGAGGAAACCGGAGGACCCGGAGAAAACCCACGAGGTTGGACAGGCGACCCTAATCCTTGCCACGTACAACCGGGGATTCGAATCCACGCCAGTCGACTCAATGATATACTTTATGATACAGCGCGCGCACGCTGCAGGTTAGAGAGCCACCGCGTACCCCAGTTAATAAAAATACACTCAACAGTCAAACAGAAAGTCGTTGTGCTTAGGCCTATTTTAATGTGCTTTATTAATAATTAAGTGACCTAGTATGTGTCGAGTGGACGTTAACCCCCCTGCCCCCTCTCTCTCTCTCTCTGTATGTGTCGAGTGGACGTTAACCCCCCTCCCCTCTCTCTCTCTCTCTAGTGGACGTTAACCCCCCCCCTCCTCTCTCTCTCTCTCACACACACACACACACACTCACTAGCTGGAATACGAAACCATTTATTAAGTCTGCAGACTTAACTTGGTACCAAGCATCTATAAAATATACCATCGACGCAAACAATTCGTTATTTTCTAGCTCTTCGCATTATACCAAAAATTCGGAGGTCAATAACCACACGTGTATTTGGTAAATCCACTGGCCAATGTAAATTATATTCACGACATTGCACAATCTGAACGACAGATCCGCCCTAGTTACCATTTAATTTGCGTACGGACATTGCATTGATTTCCATGGTAAGAAATAAAAATAAAATATCGTAGTTTGTGATTTAGCGATAAATCATTTTTCCCCCACTATTGTTCATTTTAAAGAGACCTTACCCCTCTCATCAAGAAAATAATATAATTAATTTTGAATAACATGTTCAAAATAATCTTAGACTCTATATATATATATATATATAATTACCCGAAAATCTGAGCTCTGTACAATTCAGCGATAGCTTCGCTGATTTTTTTCAAAATTTGAACATCCACAATCAATATTGTATTAGCCATATCATGTCAAATCACATATATTTGCTACCAACCTGCCAGGACCCCCGAAAACTATGTGCCCCTTTAAAATATTAATTTCATTAAAGAGGGGGGTGGGTGGATGGCGCCAATGGTTTGCGCGCTGTATCATAAGGCTTTTCGATTCCCCGGTTGTACGTGACAAGGAGTAGGGTCGCCTATATCCAATCTCGTGGGTTTTCTCCGTTTCTCCGGGTCCGCAGGTTTCCTCCCACTGCCAAAGACCCCTACGGTACGCGCAAGGAATTATTGAAATAAAATTGAACCATGTTAGTCCCGAAATGACCTATAGTTTGTGTCGAGCTCTCTCTCCTCTCCTCTCTCTTTTTAAAAGAGCCAAATCAAACTTTGAAAGTTTTCGAGAGATATTATATAGTTACTTAGAGACTGTCACTTTAAAGACGTTAACTTTGACAAACAAAGACTACAAAAAAAAAAAATAATAAAAAAAATAATTGATATCCTATGATAATAGGCAGGTGCAAATAAATGTCGATGGTTGCATTTGATATCACATGGCAAGCACACCTTTGTGTCGGGTTTCCCCGATTGCTTCATCATTAATATATATAGGTCATTTGTCATACGGCCCGTCCTTAAATAAAAGTTAAAACACTTCGTGGGACCCTTCTATTCTCTTTTGTTATAATTAAATTGCAAAGTGATTATACGGAGAGACATATTATTTATATAATAAAATAACAGCGGCCCACACAAAAAAAATCGAGACTTATACACACTGACAAAGACACGGAACGACAGAGAATGTGTCAATATGACCCACGCACTGAACGAGCGTATTTACTAGAACAGGTCAAAGTTCACGTATGACTAACGCGTACAACATTTCTTTGTGTCAGGCCTGTCTGTATATTTTTCTTTCCGGATTATTTCCGCATTGTTTTTCGTCACAAGTAACACCAAGTTAGTTTAAACATACTAACCCAAGCTACAAAATGGCAGAATATTTCAAGGGTGCTGTCTTATTATTGGCGACGCTGTTCGTTCTTTATGGAATCGCAGACGGCTCTGTTGAAAGTGTGGCGAGAGTGAGGCGCGATACTCAAGGTAAGCTGTTGTGTTGTTGTTATTGCAATGAGTTAAATATATCATATAAAACGCTAAGTTTAACTACATTTCAATCTCATGAGTTGCACCACAGGGGCATGCAGTGGTAAATCCCTTCTGATAAGCCTACCGGGCATGGCACAGCCCCATATCTAATATTAATAATAATAATAATAATAACTTTATTTTCAAAGGGTTGAAAATTAGGCCAGGAGGCCTGTCTTACATTTTACCCTTTATAACAGAAGTTAAAGAAGTGAACAATGAAATTTGAAAACAGAAGAGCAATATTTACAAAAGAATATTAACAAAATCACAATTGCCTAGGGGCAGGGGAATCATTTTGAAACTATATGGCCTACAATAACAATATATAGCCGCAATATAGGCCTATTTCGTTTCGTAGGCCTGATTATATGCCTGCTAAATGGTATAAAAGGGCCCCAACATAGGATTTGGATGGTGATGACCGTCTGGTATAAGCCTACAACATTTAGGGATTTGGGTTAATTCGTATCAAGCAGGTGGATGGTCGAGTGGTTAGCGTGTGCGCGTTGTATTATAACTAAGGTCTGTCATTGAGTCAACTGGTGTGGTTTCAATTCCCCGGTTGTACCTCACAGGAGTAGGGTTGCCTGTCCAACCTTCGTGGGTTTTCTGGGTCCTCCGGTTTCCTCCCACTGCTAAAGAATCCTGCTCGCAAGCGAATTAATTGTTGAAATAAAATTGAACCTTATGTTAGTCCCGAAATGACCTAGTGTGTGTTGAGTGGAAGTTAAACCCCATTTCTCTCTTTCTCTCCCTTTTTCAAATTGATAGATTTCCAAACGTCTAACTACAAAAAAATTATATGCAAGGTACAAAAAATGCTACCCCTAAAAAACTTTATTTTTCGTGAAAACAAAGCAAAGGGGGTGGAGTCCACCCACATGTAGTCTATGATTTACATGTATTTTTGTGTTTTATGCAATAATGACGTATTTACAAATACACATAGGGCATTATGACTAGCCCTTATCATTGATGACTTTCAAGTAACTTTTAAGGGTTGGAAAGGAATGTATATACAAGTAGGTAATTTTGGCAGTTTTATTTGATTTATCCTACAGGTGATGTGATCAATCGGTCGTTGACTATCCAATAAATATAAAATGAACATGTACAAAATCGCCACTTCAAAACACGTTTCTCATTTGTCATTATACATGTCATAACTTGGCATTTTATATAGATCTATCTATAGATATCTTTCTCTAGAAACCGGGGTATATTGAAGTGTGGTTGTATGTCTTTCTCTTGATGGGAGCCTTGGTGGCTAAGTAGGTAAATGAGCTTCGTCGTATATCCCATATTAAAGTTATATACATGTAGTTCTAATATGCTAAGTTCTATTATGCATTTGTCTATTAGTATGCAAAATGCAGAATGGAGAAGTGTAATGGACAAAATAACTATTATACTGTATTATTGAAAAGTGTATTCTGTATTTTAACACTGTGACATTGGTATTGTGGAGCAATAGAATTAGAAATTGCAAATTATAAAACTAAAATACGTATTTTGAACTGCTGACATAAACAGTTTGCACCGTGAACATGAATAATAGTGGCAACGTTATCCTTCCATAGAGTTTTGCCCAGCCACCGGTTTTCCTCTATACTCTACCATCAAAGTTTTTTTTACTACTTGTTTGTACACCAATGTGTACACTGATCTATTCCCTATCTAGTAATATTTTACTAATTGTACGCCACGCCAATGTGTACACTGATCTTCGCTCTATCTAGTAATATTTTAGAAGAATAATAAATAAGGATGTTGTCCTTGGTAAATATTTTGATAGTTGAATTGTTTATGATTGAAGTAAGGTTACATGATATCTGGTATAATAATTCTATTTGTTTACTGAGAATCAAGTCTGGTTAAAATCAGTTGGTTGAATAGCGAGTTCTACTGGAAATGCTCAACTGTCATTTTAGTCAAAATATTTAACAAGAATATGATTGAAATTGGTGCTGTTCTAATTAAACCAAAACTCCTCTAATTATCGAGAATACATACATTGACCTACTTGAAAATAAAATATAATTAACTTCTTGAAAACCACTCAACATATTTGTGCTACACGTCATTTAGAGGGTAGATTTGTTTCATATGTTACATACAATTCATAGCAGGTTATACTCAGAACTGTTTGGAAAACAAAACAGCTGTTCTTAGTTCCTAATTCATAGTCCTTAATACTTATTTCATTTGTTGTCGTATTTCGACATTTGTACACTAAAATTAACATTTGTATCTTAAAATCAATATTTGTTTTATAAATCAGACATTTGTCATATCATTTGTAAATTGTATTTTTATACGCTCACGTTGAAATGTGGTCGTATAATGTTGTCGCCCCCCCCCTCGGTCGGTCTGGCATCCACAATTGCTTCTGGACGCTTTAGAGGCTATAGTTAATATCCGATTGACTTTAAATTTATACACAGTGTTTAAGGCCTTGAGAAGAAGAATCCGATAATTAGTGCCATAGTTATGGCCCTTGACCTCTTTAAAAAAAAATCTTGTACTAAGCTCTTTAAAAAAAACTTGTAGAAGCTCTAGAGACTGAAGTTAATATCCGATTGACTTTAGATTTATGCACCATGTTTAAGGTCACGAGACGAATAATCCTATTGATTTCCGATAATTACTGCAAGAGTTATGGCAGTGTTTAACGTCCTGAGACAATTGAAACAAATTCTAATGATTTCTAAATTACTAAACGGGTTGCGTAATCAGATTTTCATGTGTTGTAATTGTTTTCATTATATTGTAGGCCTACTTATTAAAAAAAATAAATAAAATATGCGACAACTCTTAGCTGCTGTGGGTGTTTGTTTCGTTGCTTGGCAACGTATCTTTGTTTAATGTAATTGTATTTTAATATAAAGATAGATTTTTTGCACCAACCCGGCTATTGGAGATGGGGCTGATGTTCGAAATGAAAATTGCGGGATGTGGGGATGTGTCCAATCTGATTAAAACACAGACCCTATTTCGTTTCGTTTTTTATACTCCAAAATTTTGCATTTTGCTTTACTACACTAGGATCTGGAAGAGGTGTTATATAACCCGCGTTCTGGGTGATGTGAGGGATTAGCCAATGAAACGGTCAGTTACGGCGAGTTTTTAGTGTAAGGTACACGGAACTGTGAGTAACCCACTAAAACATCAATGCTGATGGTTAATCAAATGTCTGGCATCATAGGGTCAAAAGCCGCTCGTATGACCTGTGACACTACTACATGAAGCCGGTAGAGGCCTTCAAAAGTATAAAAAAACGAAATGAAATATAGATCTGTATTTTAATCAGATGTGTCAGTAATTAAGCTGTATTTGCCGTATTTGTTCTTTCTGTCTTTGGTGGACAATTCCCCTATTCTATTAGATTGTCGAACCCCTTTAATGACCATTAGTAACTTTTACATTTAATGACCATTAGTAACTTTTACATTTAATGACCATTAGTAACTTTTACATTTAATGACCATTAGTAACTTTTACATTTAATGACCATTGGTAACTTTTACATTTAATGACCATTGGTAACTTTTACATTGGTCACTTTTAGATTTAATGGCCATTGGTAACTTTTACATTTAATGACCATTAGTAACTTTTACATTTAATGACCATTAGTAACTTTTACATTTAATGACCATTGGTAACTTTTACATTTAATGACCATTGGTAACTTTTAGGTTGGTCACTTTTAGATTTAATGACCATTAGTAACTTTTACATTTAATGACCATTGGTAACTTTTATGTTTTTTAACCTCTATTGTATGTTGAAAACCACTGGATACTCCACTGTATGCTCCACTATATGCTCCACTCGATGCTCCACTTGATGATAGAATATTAAATGTCAGGATAAACATGTTTACATCAAAACATAATTACAACACATTACATGACAACCATATACTTGAAAACAAACCGACTAATGACTTCTTGACATGAACACAAATCAAAGTTAATAGCTGGAAGGCTGGAGGTATATAATTACCTGTGTGTGAGAGAGATATAGACATATAGAGATATAGAGAGAGAGACTTCTGGACTATTTCTTGCCACCTACAAACTGGATACGGAAGCCACCCCAGATGGCTAAAATGACCCCCTCCTCCCTCTCTCCTCCCCCTTCTACACCCAGCAGTATAGCAACTAAATTGTTGATTGAAATCTCAAAGTGACTGGTTTACATCTGTACATTTTAATCCATTTTCTAATTTTTGTATTTCAGTTAGTAATACTACAGTTGATACACATGACAACGAGACAGTGACACATGTCCAGAATGAGGGGTTGAGCACGGGTAATATTATTGAATAATTAAACATTTTCGTTCGTCCATGGAACTCTGTCATATAACTCTGTATTATGACATAGTTATTTATTTTTCATGATTTACTATGCACCCAAAGATTCATTCAGTTGATTTTATAGTTATGGCTTACAATATCTGTATTTAGTCTTGTCCGCGTGTTTGTCCTGTAAGTTAATAAACGATTTGTCTACGATAGTCCTGTATGTTGTGGAAATGGATGTTAAACTCGGCAGGAGCCACGGTGGCTCACTAGCCTGGAGGTCGCGTATCAACCACTACATTGGCCGAGAAAGTTTATCAGGGTTTCCGACATGGTTTCCCGCTTGTCAGTGGTGCAGAACGGAGAGCCTGATAAGGACAGCTGTCTAGTCGTACGAATTGGATGAAAAACCAAGGTCCCGTGTATAGTTAAAGATTCCTTTGGCAGTTGGACTTTGATATAAGAGTAGTCCATAGGGCCGCTGCCCGGACAAAATTTCCATCATAATACACTGTATGGCATATACCCGTTGTCCGTCTTCATTAGTCGTTCGTATGGGAAGAAAAACCAAGGTCCCGTGTTTACATTGGCGTGAACGTTAAAGATCCCTTGGCAGTTGGAATTCGATATAAGAGTAGGCCATAGGGCTGCTGCCCGGACAAAATTTCTATCATAGTATGGTGAATGACCGTCATCCGTCTTCATTTGCCCAGTCGGAGCAGAACAGCGTTAAATCCCATTTCATTTGATTTAGTTAACTCGGACCTAGTTAGCAAATTAAATGATTACATGTAACCACATGTAAACGATTCTATTACATCAACTGATTTAGAATAATGATGTTTTATAGCCACAGTTTCACTGTAAAATCAATAAGTTATTTTAAACTATAATGTACACAGAGAAATATTTACTCTACTTCTAGAATAGATCTATGTCTTAAATAGCTGCCATATCCAACATCATACACTCAAAGGGGCCTGACAAGGAAAGCTTTCTAGTCGTTCGGATGGGACAAAAAATCAAGGTCCCGGTTATACATTGGCATGCACGTAAAAGATCCCTTGAAGTTGGAATTCGATATAAGAGTAGGCCGTAGTGCCACTGTCCAGGCAAAATTTCCCTCGTAGCAGACTGTATGACGTATGTCAGTCTTCATTAGCCCATTTCGGAGCAGAACAGTAGGACGTTAAACCCCATTTAAGTTCATTCCATTTCGTATGGTTTTCAAATGTAAGAGGGTTTAATGTTTCAACTTATAATCACAACGCCAGACTTGTTCCCATGGCCAAACATACGTTTTATATCTGTGAATATATCTTTCAGTTCAACAATCGAGGGGAAATTTCCATCTACTATTTGATTGGTATATATAATATTTCATATTCCTGTTTTTTCTGTTTGCAGGTCTAATTATTGGTATAGCTGTAGCCGTTATTGTAGTGGTCGCCCTTGTTGCTCTTGTCATATTTTTTGTCATCAGACTCAGATCGTAAGTATTATAAAATTATGATGTTTATCTTGAGATTTGTGATCATATGAGTAATCGGACAGATATCCGCTACTTTAAAGATACATTATGGGAGATTCGATAACGATTTGAAAGTTCTCACTATAATAGTTAAAAACTAAAAAATGTAAAGGCAATTTGCTGAAAATTTCATTCAAATTGATCTACTATGAACCGAGAACTAAGCAGTTGAAATTTCCGGCTAGCCTTGATCATCATTACTAAAGTCAGTACGATAAACAGCATAGTCTCGATTATCCATTTAATCGTTAAATCATGAAGGAAAGTTATGCAGTAAATCAGCTAATAATCCACTAAAGATTGCAGGCTAGCGTTGCCATCTAGAGTTGATTATGTTCTTTCCGTGTTAATAAATGTCTAATTAATAATTTAGATAACATTTCAGACCTAAAGAAAGGCCTGCAATAGACAGATTTAGCTCTTGCATAATGTATGTTAAAGGTGGACATTTCTAATCATATTGTATCTAGGTCAAAAAGGTATTGGAATAAGGTTGATCAGGCTTTGAGTTCACAAAGCATTTCCAGACTTAGTTCAGAATTTAGCAAACTGTTTATCATTTTCAGACTTAAGTTAAGAATTTACTCAAACTTTCAATCACTGTTTATGAGAAATATCTATGTTCCAGAAACACAAAACTTTGCACATAGATTCTTATTGATGTATTTGATACATTAAAACAACGAAAGTTTTATGAATGGCTATGGTTTAGTTAAAATAAGGCGAACACTTTGGGGTAAATTCTTAACTTAAGTCTGTAAACTTTGTGAACTCTGGGCCGGGTGTGTTGTATGGAATGGTGACTGTGCAGCTCTAGATGATTAAAACTTTGTTTCCAAAGATTCAGTTAAAATCGGATTATTTACTAATTTGAGCTTTTTAGGGCATACAGTGTCAACAATGGAAGAGAAAATCAGGGATATCTATATATATATTTGTGACTGTCGTTTGTCTGTCGGTCTGTCTGTCTGTCTGTCTGTCTGTTCGGGGTTGGCGGCTACACTAGGTCTGCCCCGAGTCTGAAATTTGGAGTAAAGGGGTAGCTCAGACCGGGGAGTACCATAGGCCAGGTGGCGTTAGTCTACCACTTCCGGTTTCGGAGTTATGACCCCCGAGCGAAGCCGGTCTGTTCGGGGTTGGCGGCTACACTAGGTCTGCCCCGAGTCTGAAATTTGGGGTATAGGGGTAGCTCGGACCGGGGAGTAACATAGGCCAGATGGCGTTAGTCTACCACTTCCGGTTTCGGAGTTATGACCCCCGAGCGAAGCCGGGTATCTGTCTGTCTGTTCGGGGTTGGCGGCTACACTAGTTCTGCCCCGGGTCTGAAATTTGGGGTATAGGGGTAGCTCGGACCGGGGAGTAACATAGGCCAGGTGGCGTTAGTCTACCACTTCCGATTTCGGAGTTATGACCCCCGAGCGAAGCCGGTCTGTTCGGGGTTGGCGGCTACACTAGGTCTGCCCCGAGTCTGAAATTTGGGGTATAGGGTAGCTCGGACCGGGGAGTAACATAGGCCAGGTGGCGTTAGTCTACCACTTCCGGTTTCGGAGTTATGACCCCCGAGCGAAGCCGGGTATCCTGCTAGTCTCTAATAAAGATGTACAATTCAACAAAGGCAGATTTTCATCCCGCAGAACAAATAAACCTATAAATAAAAAAAATCGAGGATGATTATTCAGACACCTATTTGGCCAAACACTTAATGTATTGATATTGTAATCTTAGTTTTATCTATAGCATTTGTGGCATACAATATGTAAAACCTATACCTTGAGGGGATTCCTATTTGTAGAAAGCATGTATTATATAATATTAAAATGTGTAGTGAGCACGCTATGGTGTATAGAAAGATAATTGTATATAGGGTTATTTATAGCTCTAAACTACTTAACTCAGATTGCATATATTATTTTCATTATGGCTTAAAATCTTTAAGTTCCAGTATGATGGCCCCGGTTGTATGTGACATGGAGTGGGGTCGCCTGTCCAACCTGGGTTTTCCGGTTTCCTCCAATGCTTTGTTAGTCCTGAAATGACCTAGTATGTGTCGAGTGGACGTTAAACTCTCTCTCTCTCTCTCTCTCTCTCTAAAATTGAACCATGTTAGTCCCAAAATGACTCTCTCTCTCTGTCTGTTTAAAGCTTGAGAACCAGGGGCCTGTTTCACGAAATTTTAACTAAGATAAAATCCAAATTTTAGTAATTTGATTGGATAATATTAGATTGATTTTAGTGCTTAGCCAATCAAAATTGAAGTATCTACTAAAATTTGGATTTTATCTTTAGTTAAAATTTCGAGAAACAGGGCCCAGATATGCGCATTACCCTCTCTCCTTCTCTCTATCTCCCTCTCTCTATCTCCCATTGCCGGTGGTGCAGGACAGAGGACCTGGCAAAGAAGAGCGTGGAGTCCCGACGGAAAAAACCTTGACAGTTGGCATTTCCCTAATAGTACATTGTATGGCGTATGCCCGTCTTCATTAGCCATGTCGATACAGAACAGTAGGACGTTAAACCCTATTTATTTCATTCATATATTGCGTACCAGTCATCAGTCCACGTTCCATACGCTACCCGCTAAAATAAATGTTTAAAATAGTCTGCATTGTAGTTATATAGGGATTATGTTGATTTAACTTACTTTATGTCTGAATTTCTTTTTAGCCGAGGTTCTTCAGAAATGGAACGTGAAGCCAAAATTCAGATGACAACATCCAAAAATGCTGGCGTCTACGTTGATTTGGCGACAAACCCTGATCAAGAAGACAAAGAGATGAAAGAAACGGATAAATTAAAATCAGCAGAAGAAGCTTAGATGGCCACGAACAAAATACATTTTTAAAGAAAGAAATCTAGGGGCGTATTCAATTAAATTCTTTAATGTTGATAGGGATGTGCCAATAACAACCTATTGCCCTGAATTAGAATGTCCAGGGGTTTTCCTAGGCGAATTGAGCTAAAAAAATACACCTTGGACTTAGCACTATTTTTTCGGTCAGAAATCGGCCATTTTCCAAAATGGTGGCCATTTTCCAAAATGGTGGCCATTTTCCAAAATGGTGGCCATTTTCCAAAATGGTGGCCATTTTCCAAAATGGTGGCCATTTTCCAAAATGGTGGCCATTTTCCAAAATGGTGGCCATTTTCCAAAATGGTGGCCATTTTCCAAAATGGTGGCCATTTTTCGTTGAATTTCGATTTTTTTCGATTTTTTTCACTATATTGTATATATTAGAAACACTTCGAATATGCCTTACATTGTGTCCTTCACTGGGTTTTCGGGTCGACAAATACGAATACAATATAATTTTGCTAGGTCAAAAATTTTGCACAAAATGAGTTTTTCAGATCCATTGACCTAGGAAAAACCCTGCAGGCCATTTCCATATATTGAATCCTATCCCTGTCAAAATTATTGTAGATTTAAAGGGAAATTGTAATTTAGGCTGATTACTTAAGGTTAAATAGATTCGTAAATATTCTGAAAATATAAAGGAAACTCATACACAAAACCCTTTTAGAAAATCCCTTGGGTTACTTTGAGTAACAATTTTGAAGAATAACCAAACCATAAGTTGATCAGCTCCATTTTGCTAACCTGTAATGGTGGTGAAATTTCATGTCCTTTGGCGAAAGTGATGGTTAATATTCTTTTTTATATTTCGAAATCTATCTAGCAGATATGTTTTTCGAATGTAATGAAATTCAGTCTACATTTTCCTTGCAAACAGAGAACTTACAACCATAAATTCATCAATCAAAATCAATAATCAAACATCATAATCATTTATCAAAACCACTACCTACAGACTTTCATCATTTGATACATTGTTGGTGTAGGAGGCAGACGTATTTTTTCTTGTTTATTTATAAACATTGTCGTCATAGAAACGTATTTATGGCTTAAGTTGACAAATATCCATTCTTTATTTACATATTATCATGTTCGACATTTAAAATTCTATCGTATAAGCTCATAAATTTGAGAATAAACCTACTAAAGTTAATTAAGTAGCTTGGGGTGTTAATAACAATATCTTAACTAATACCATTAGTAACACAAACCTTATACAAGGCCTGTCATTAATAGCATGGTCCTACTGCACTTACTAATATAGTAATCAAGACCCAGTAATTAATAACGTATAGTAATAAAGACCCAGTAATTAATACCGTATAGTAATAAAGACCCAGTAATTAATAACGTATAGTAATAAAGACCCGGTAATTAATATCCTACAGTTATACCAGCCCTGTAATTAATAGAAAGTAATAACGAACCAGTAATTTATAGCGTATTATAAAACGAGTAATATGGACATGTAATTAATAGCATAGCCTAATACAAAAACAACGTAATTAATATTTTTTCACCGTCATGACTTGTATTATTAGATAACTGAATATATGCCATCACCACAATGTTTTTTGCCGTTTTGGGCTATTTTCGAAAATTCTAGGTGTTAATAAAACAACCGAATTGTCTGACTACTTTAGAATCACTTTTCGTGAAAAAAGAAACTGAAAAAAGGGGGTTGTTAATTCAGACAGAACGAATGGTAATGGATTTAATTAACTTTAGAAAATAAACCTAAAACTATTTACTATATTGACGCCCGCTCATTGTATTACTTTTATTTATAGACTTTACATCGTTTAAAATATTTAGGCTTGTTTTGTTTTGTTTTTCCTTTGGTTGATTTATTTATGTCATCTTTAAATATTCATAAATTTTATAGATTATTTTACCTGACAGATTGAATATTTAAAGTAGCCGTGTTGTGACACTAGTTTAGCATTTAGTTGTATTGTTTATCTGAACAACCCGATAGTTCCGTATTAAACCACATTTAAAACCGGATGTTTCCATCTGGAATTTCCATTTCTCATTTAGTTGTATTGTTTATCTGAACAACCAGATCGTTCCGTATTAAACCACATGCCACCACTTTAAAAACCGGATGTTTCAATCTGGAATTTCCATTTCCCGTTTTTTTATCTGAACATAGCGCTGTGTTGATGTTCTTTAGTAATGTCCAATTCACTGGATTTCTTTAGATGAGTAAAATCATTATTTGTTTTAATTATTCTGTATAATTACCACGATAGTGTACCTTTAAATTGTTAGAGCAAAACAAATGGACCATATTATTTTATTGCTGATAATAACACGTTTTGAAAGCTTGTCTAGACTAGATTTAAACGAAATCAACACGTAAATATCAGCACAAGTAAAGCCAATTAGTAAGAAACTTGTTATACTTGTTTGAACCGGGGCCAAAAAAAAAAACCTCATTAAGACGGAAATTAGAAAATTTTATTATTCTCAAAGACGTGAGTTTGAATTTTTTAAAGTGCATTTTAATGTAGATTTAATGGGAAGATGATTTTAAATTATTTAAATAGGACGAGTTAAAAGCGTACCATGAATACGTTGATGGGTAAATATGGAGAAGATACGTAGACGATGAGGCATCCATAGTTGGTCTTTAGCACATCTGGTATCTGGGCTGTTAATGATGGGTGTAGAACCGGGGCGTCGTGATCCCTTATTTTGCATAAGGAACAAGATCACGCCCCCCCCCCCCCCCCAACAAAAAAAAAATATATATATTTATGTGTGTGCGGGAAAGAGAGGGAGTCCATCTTTGTGCCGCGGAGTAATATTCGCTGTGTGAAACATGCTAGATCGATTTGTATAATGTTTGATACTGGTTAAGCATTATGAAAACCGCATTGAAACCACGTGATTTTTGCCATTTGCGAGGGGGTGCAAAAACTCAAAACCATGACCCTGATTAGAATCTGAATGCCCTTTTGTCCGCTTTTTAATTTCCAAATCGTATACGGTAAAAAAATATTTCCCAGACGTTGTTAATTAAAGATACCATTAAGAGACCCTAAAAAAGGAGATGAAACGGCATCTATTCACTTCATTTAAATTCCCGTGGGGGGGGGGGGGATACTATACCCAAGTGCATTTCATATAGAGTGTACATGCCGGACCTAATTTCAAAATCCTATTTATAAAATGTTAACAGCTCCATTGATTTGAATAATGTCCATTTTTATAAATTAGTTTACAAAAACCCAATTAGATTACACTTTCGTTTTATTTATTTTTCTAATTTTTGTGCTACATTTTCTATGTAATTCAAAACGCAGTAACTTAAATTAAAATTATATTTTTTTACGTTTCGTCTTTAGGATTGAGTATGAAATAAAGAATATAAAACGAAAGTAGAAATTGAAAAGAACATCTTATTGTAATTATATTTAATGTACGTAACGGGAATTTGATTATAATTTGGTTTGGAATAGACAATCACATAACGTGCAGTTTAGGCGCCATCTTGGGTTTGCGGGGCCTTCCCTTTGTGGCTAATGATATTTGCGCAGTGTGTTACTTATTTTTTTCTGCCAATATTGTTTGATAAAATACTGTTATTTTTTTAAATTGAATTTTGTTATGCTATATATGACTTTACTGCTTTGCTTGCCTTACACATGTACTTATATTATAGGGTTATTATTATACCCAATCCATGTATTTCCTTTCTTTTTTATACTCCAGGGCCCTTATTTACGAAAGATACAATCAAAATTTTAAGAAATACTGCAATTCGATTGGCTGATCAGTAAAATCAATTTGCATATATTCAATGAAGTTGCAGTATTTCTTAAAATTTCGGTTGTAACTTAGTTTTAAGTTTTCGTGAATAAGGGCCTTGTGTGTCTATTGTTAAAATAGAGAACGCTAGATCGGAAACGGCCCTGCACATTTTAACAGATATGACGTCATATGTGTGTTAGGGCAAAGGGTTAGGACCTGCAGCTTCCGTCAAAGTCTCGAGAGGTAGTAAACAGGGCTAGAGCTAACCCTTACCCTACCCGTGGACAAAGCCTAAGCCTTGCCCTAACGTCATATGACGTTATATGTGCAGGAGCCTCTCTGATCTTTGAGGAAATCTGCAGGTCCTTACCCTTACCCTAAACAAACAATCCACTTCTGACGTCTCCGATCTAGCTAGGGTTCTCCGGTTAAAATATAAACCACAGAATATATAACAAAAACGATTATATCATTATGAAATGTTGTATATCTAACCAACCACATTCATGTTGTTTACAATGAATATATATCCAATTTATTTATGATAATTCTTACATATCCATCATTGTCATTGTTATTGTTGTTGTTGTATTTATAATGATGTAATTAATGTGCCTTATTTGTATTGTATTTGTTATTCTAATGTTTAATGTGAACCCGTATAAACTTACTATGGAGGTATATCGCTTTAACACCTTGCATAGCGTTTCACTAAATGTATTTTTTACACTATCACTAGCGCCTTATATAGTTTGGTTAATAACGCTAAATTTATATTGTCATTTAGATTTTCGCTACAGTAGCCTATATCGTGCTTTTATTATAGTTAGTTTAGCTAAAAATATATACAAGCTATAATTGGTGTGTTTCGCAAACGATTATTAGATTTTCACATAACGATGCACTCGGCAAACCTCAGCTGACACCAGTACCCTACATTTAGATCAGTGGTTCTCAACCCTTTTTTTGCCACCGGCACACCTTGGAATACATGAAAAAATAGCGGCACACCTGGCTAAATATCTGTGAAAAATATTTGAATTTTGCAAAATAAAAACATGGCAAGTCATAGACGGCATACAATCGTAGACTAGTCACATAGAATAACTCAAACTAAATAAAGAAATACACAGCTATGAACTTATCACTAGACACCAGTGAATACTCATTTGGGATCACATGGTTTTTTGCATTTTCTTAGGGTGCCGTTCAAAATTTCGCGGCACGTTAGGAAGATCTCGTGGCACACTGGTTGAGAATCACTGATCTAGTTGTAGAATAATGGAATCTGGTGAGGTTTACCGAGTGATAACCGTGGTATGTGTTGCTGTGAACTATCTGCTATATACATCAGTGTGTTGTAGGTGGTATATATCATGACCTCCTAAATATTGTTTATCTTGTTTTCAACAACCGCCAAATTTTGATATAATTTTAATATATCTATTTATTTATGCGCCACAAAGAAACAGTCATTTTGATGTAAGTTATCATCTATTTACCGATTCTCCATTTTGTAAATAAACAGTCAAACTTTTTATATATTTCTTAATCATATTTTACTATCTAAATACATTGAAAAATCTTTGTTAAATATGTTATGATTATTTGAAATGTATGTGGTCATCGCCATATAAACCGCGTCTATATTAATATGTCTGGGTCATTATTACACCGTCATATGAATCTAAAAAATATAATTCACATTTGAATAAAAAGACACTTGCTTATCACGTACATGACGGTTTGTTATTAGGTGGCCTGTAAAACATTTAAATATAGTAATAACATGGTTATATGGAAACTAGTTTAAATGTTTCCCTACGACATATATTTTGCTTTCATGTCTATAATAGATGACATTCTGCTGACGACATTGTAATTTTTAATATATCTGTGTAACCCGCTTAGTTATTTAAAGCTGAATTGTTTTTTTTTTGTTTTTTTTTTACCTTAGATATTCAAGTCATCATGTCTATTTAAGTTGTTTTTGTATCACGGTCATGTGCGACTCTGCAGTAATTGTTGTGTAATTGTATATTTTGCTATTGTATTAAACTTTATTTATAAAATATCAAGGAAATGATAATCTTGTGATTAAACATTTTTTTTGATTGTTTATTTTGTTGGGGGGGGGGGGCGTGCGGGGGTTGAAGTAGTTTCACTGTGGATAGAAATGTCTGATGACTTGATATAATACAGGAAATAGCAGATCGGCTTCATGTCGTATTCACACTCCTGTGTGTGAGAGAGAGAGAGAGAGAGGGGGGCTAGGTCATTTCGGGACTAACATGTTAAATTTTATTTCAATAATTTGCTTGCTCGTAGGGGTCTTTAGCAGTAGGAGGAAACCGGAGGACCTGGAGAAAACCCACGAGGTTGGAATACTAATAAAGACCCGGTAATTAACAGCGGATAGTCTTTAGCAGTGGGTGGATACCAGAAGATCCGGAGATAACCCACGAGGATCAGGTGACCCTACTCCTTGTCACTTACAACCAGGGAATCGAAACCACGCCAGTTGACTTAATGACAGACCTTATGATTACAAAGTGCACGCGCTAACCATTCAGCCATTCACCCCTCGTAAGAACGTGGCAAAGAGGGTCGGCCATTCCCGGAAGCAGTCGTCTCCGACCTGGTAAATCCGATAACTCTGTTGTTATCTATAATAAACAAATATGTTAGCTATGTGAATTGCCCAAATGAGAAGTGTTGTTCTAGAAATGGTAAGCATACCCGGATATTTGCTAATTAGATTATCGATGATATTTTGAAAGGATATTATTCGAAATTATATCCTCAACGCGAAATAATCTTCCACCAGGCTTCCATTGTGGAACGGACAAGGAAACGGTGCCTTGCCACCCGGAGAACGAAAGGTGTCTTGCAACCCGGACAACGAAAGGTGTCTTGCAACCCGGACAACGAAACGGTGTCTTGCCACCTGGACAACGAAACAGTGCCTTGACACCCGGACAACGAAAGCTGTCTTGCAACCCGGACAACGAAAGGTGTCTTGCAACCCGGACAACGAAACGGTGTCTTGTCACCCGGACAATGAAACAGTGTCTTGCAACCCGGACGAATGGGATCCCGTTTACAGCAAATTGCTAGTGCACGTGAAAGAAGAAGACTGGGATCATATAAAACAAAGTCACTGTCAGCCCCCCCAACTCTCGACACACCACACGTAACCATAGTAATGAAAGCTAAATCCATCAGGTTAATCTGCCCTTAATTCAATTCATAAGTATGCTTTATCATGACGCGTCTATTTTTTGTTGTTGTATTTGTGCGTCATCTTGAACTAGGAACAAAACAATGAAATTAAATTTTAAAATTTTTCATACAGAGCTCTTGTAACAGCTGCACCCATTATTAGAGTACGGACGCTACTTTATCTTAAATTTCTAAAGGACTTTATCTGAATTGCTAACAATTCGTGCAAATGTTTGATTAAATGACAGAAATCATATCATTGATTTTTTTTTTTATTATTTTCATGTATTTATTAAAATGTATTTGTTCTCGGTAAAGTTGGTGACTTGTTAAACATGGCGCCATTTTAACAAAAGAATATGGCAAAATTCTAAAAGGCCTCTATTCTCATTTTAGTGATCTGAAGGACGTTGAGATAAGAAGATGGCGGTATGAAATATAATTTTTATTACGGCTTTTAGTATGGATGTCATTTTGTCACGCATTTATCCTACATGATGCTAAACATTACTAAAGGGTACAAGACGAGGGTGCGGCTCAAAATATTTTAGCCACTGCCATAATCTGATAGAAATACAGATCTATATTTAGTTTCGGCTTTTTTTCTACTGTCGATGGCCTCTACTACACGAAGATCTGACCAGTTGTAGTGAGAGGTCGCGTCAGGGGTCATACGTCAGACATTTGGTTAACCAATTAGCGCTGATATTTCTTGTGGGTTACCCACCGTTCCGTGCACCCCACGCCAAAAAACTCGCCGTAACAGACCGTTTCATTGGCTAATCCCTCAAATCAACCAGAAAGCGAGTTACATTACAACTCTTCCAGATCCTAGTGTAAAACGAAATTTCGAACTATAAAAAAAAAACGAAACGAAATAGGATATATGTTTTAATCAGACTGTCACTGCCAATAAATAGAATATATAAAATCCAGGGAGCCTTGAAAAATATTTTGATTGGGTTTTAGCAGTAGCGCATCTACGGTATGTCAGTAAGGACACGTGTCATGGGCACCACTTGAAGGGGACGTTACGTGTCAAGGGCACCACTTGAAGGGGACGTCACCGAGAGATACTGACAGTAACACCACCCACCTGCGTAAGCTAGGGCGGTAGTCGAGAATTTATCTAGAACTTATAGAAATGGATATCAGATGTTTAGATAGGAGCACAATTTCAGTGCTTGCCACAGGCGCCATTTTCAGCAGATAATACGTTCCTTGACATAACCATGGGCCATTAATTTAATTAATTTTCTTATATCTATCCCGAGATTATTCCCACTCTTTGTTCCTAAATTGATCCCATACACAACAGATTAACACACGCGTGTACATGATAAACTATGTAACCATAGACAATGGTAACTATAACCAATTAAAACCACAGTGTTACTATGTAAATATGTATAAATACACTATACTGTCCATCTTTATACAATGACATTATTTATGAATACATGTAGTTTCAAGACGGAAGAAAAGTACTTTAAAATCTTAAAATGTTATTAAACCAGTGTAGATATCAATTTATGTCGGCATACCTTTTATCTTTTCATAAAAGTAGTGCAGCTTTACGGTTTTTTATTTCCTAAATCAAATTGCGAAGAAGTGAAAATTCGCCTCAAGTTTCAAGAATCTAAAACAACCCAGGAAATTGAGACGAATTCTCATTTCCTCATAATTTGATTCAAAAAAAAAAAAGCCTATTGTTTCCAAATGTGGGGACGAAAGATGTTTAACTTGTAAAATGATAGTCGAAGGAAGCTCCATTAAATTAAACGAATCCAATTTTTCTCATGAAAAAACAAAGAATGACATGCAAATCAAAAAATGTAAATTTTCTCATTGGATGTTATGGTTGTAAAGGGAAATACATTGGTAAAACAGAAGGTCAACTAAATCTTCGAATGAACCTTCATAGATCGCAAATCAAGATTCCAAGTAATCGAACAATACCTTTAAGTTCACACATCGAAACGTGTGGAGGTGGAAAAGTCAACGTATTTCCCTTGTACAAATTGAATTTTTTAAATAATGATTTATGATTTAATTGATTGTAAAGAAAACTATTTCATCAAAAAGTATAAACCAGAATTAAATAAACGGATATTATAGTAAGAGACGAAATAATTCTCTTATTTACTAAATATGTAAATATTATTATGTTGTATTTAATTACGTTACGTTATCTGTCATAAATAAAAATAACCTGAAGATGTTCAGTATGAGGAAAACGCGCTCGTATTTGGTGCCTTTCTTTAAAGATAGGCCTACGTTCCCGTGTACAAACTTTGTGATTTGATGATGTATTTGGACTAAAAACGAAGCCGGAGGAGAATTCATTGCATACACAAGACGATGTTGTCTTTAATCGCTATCCATGAATCAAAAATATCGAAGCCTAATTAAATTCTCGAATTATTCACTGCTCCTGGTTTTTTCCCGTGGAATTTATCTCAGAAAGTGTTGTATGTTTAGTTCATCAAGTTTATCAACAAGTACATCAAGCGCCCAATCTCCGCGTGCTACCTTTGACGTGACGCGAACAGGCATTCCTAATCGTCGGGCTGCCAATTAGGGAAACCCTTTCATTTCTGTCCTGTATGCGTTCCATGGATGTTTTTAAGGGAATCCAGTATTTTTCTAGTAAGATTGGATATTTCAACTGTCCATATATACCAAAATTGCCATACTCTTAAGGGAAATAACCACCCGATAAATACTTTTCTGGGAACGTATCTTTAATTTAGTTTATTTATAAATTAGCTGAGAGTTGTATTTACTTATTGACACAACTATATGTAATTATCTATAGATTGCTTGTCTATAGAGACATTTAATATCAGATCTACATTATTATTGTCTGTAACTATCGTTATGTAATTCAGTAATTCGGTTCTCATATAATTTAAACATGCATCATGCAAGAGCCAAATCTGTCTGTTGCAGGTCTTTCTTTAGGCCTGAAATGTTTTCTAAAGCATTAATTAGACATTAATTAACTGATCCAGGCCTTAAGAAACTCTCGATGGCATCAGATTTCTCCGATATTAAATAGATTAGAATGGTTAAGCGGTACTTTGATTTAATCAAATATGGAGGACCGAGACTTAGCTTCGATCAACCAGTACGGTGGTTGAAATTATTGCACACGTCTGTCAAACCTTCAAAGGCTAATATCTTCGCATGCAATAGAGTAATTTGAATGGAATTTTCAAATTATTCATTTTACATCATCTACTTTCGAACTATTATACCAAGAATGGCTAGTTCTTTATCTAAATCTTACATAATGTATCTTTAACGAAATTGTCAATCAAAAAAGAGTTTCAACTACTTTTGTTCGAATAATTACATCTTGTACATATTTTCGATTTAGCTAGTATGTATCAGAAATTAATGATTGAGATTACTAGATTTATTTCTTATTATTTCCATTATAAAAGTAACCACGCTATTTATAATTATAATATATAGGATGTATTTGGTGAAAACTGAACATGCCCGGAAAAAATATTCCATAGATTTCTTGCATTCGGATACAATAATGGATGTCGAATTCCTTCCTGCCTTTAGCCATCAAATGAGCTTGGAAATAAGTTACACACTTTGACTAACTTTCGTATGTTAATTTATATACGAAGATTCGCTGTGTTAAGGAGGAAGAACAACAGAAATGGTTCCATTGCTGATGTCTTCCATCTTGCTCCAGCCACAGCAGTGGACCGTCCTAAGGCCTTCCTTCGAGCAAGTTTGTATTTGACTACAAAACAGTTACAGGCCTATAACTCCCTTAGTTTCCAATTACATGCGCTGACCCCAAACTGTACTGTACATAGCTTAACATATAATAAACCAATTCTCATTGAAATAAAGGTGAAACCCTACCGTATAATTATATGATTCGATTAAAAACAATTTCCTATCATTTTAAAATGGCCGTCGAACCAGAATCACATGATTTTATGTCACTCGAAAATACAGAAAAATGGGCCCTCGGATTCACGAAATCTTAACTAAAGATAAAATTCAAATTTTAGTAGATACTTCAATTTTGATTGGCTAAGCACTAAAATCAATCTAATATTATCCAATCAAATTACTAAAATTTGGATTTTATCTTAGTTAAGTTTTCGTTAATAAGGGCCCTGTTCGGTAAGATAAGATTAAGATTTTAGTGTTCCACTCTTCACTATTTGTAACATAATTATTTGTTTCTACGCAAACTGCGATGATATGTGTTAACAATTTTGCAATTTGCTCAAAACCTTGAATAGTGGTGTATCAATTGTAGGCGTGGGTAAGAATTATCACGTTAACAACTATTGCAGCTATAAGAACAAAGTGTCAAGTCAAATAATGGACCAATGTCACACCCCGACTGTTAGTACTAAATGATAAGGCCAGTTCAATATTTTGTCATAAGGCACGAGATGTAAACAGGGCTAGCGCTAATTCCAATCCTAACCCTAACCCTGGGCCTACCCCCAATGCCTACCCTAACCAAATTTTCATCATCCTAGGTCAGTGCTTACGTGGAAACTTGACCGCTCCCCAAATTCTTAAACCTAACCAACAAACTCGCCAACAATCACGTGCCCTAACCTTATTCATATCTCAGCGTCCCTGACAAAAATTGAGCTGACCTTAACAAATAGATTTAACCCATCCCGACAAAGGATGTTCTTACATTGTCTCTATCGAAATCGACCTTCGTTCCATATTCCTACGCCCATGTAATAGGAAAAAATAACCCGCAATTAATCTTTAGATCCGATACACAAATAAAAAAATAGACCCTTACTCCATTCTAGGGTAGGGTACACGATTTAGGGATTCTATATAAATAATCGTCAATGTCACGGAATTCAAGTCCGAACTTGAAAGTTAGGCAATAAAGCGGTCGACATTTTGAACGTCCAATATTAGAATACTATTATGAATATGACTGGCACGTAGATCGCCAATAAAGCGACCCATTTGAGTGGAGTTGTATACTATAAACATTACATTACAACTAATTGATTTCACGTGAAGAATATAGCTAATAAATTTATAAAAGTTGAAAAGGAAATCTATTTATTAGTGTGGTCTTGGTCGCTAGTAAATATTATACACCTATATACATTGAAAGGACGTATTTAACACATTGTCAAATCAATTTACAAAAGATATAGCTATTTTTGGTACCTTTATTCCCACGACCTACATTCAAGATGGAGGAACAAGCTTTGTATGTAATATTTTTCTGTGTTTTATTTATGCCCGTTGGAAGTGAGAATGGGTGGATTTATACAAGATTAAAAAGACAAGGTATAAAATCTTAATTCGTTTTCCAAGTTGAGATTAATTATATGTTCTATTATATTCGACGAGGAATTAAAGTAGCTAAGTCTCTAACTCAATATCATCCAAAGTCTTACACGTTGAAAACACGAATTATTTGTCAATTTAAATCAATATTGATGTTGTGATCTTACCGAGAAAAGATGGGCTTCTGATTTCCAATATACAAGTCAAAATAAACATTTTACCATTTGTACACGAATCGTTTACCATAATGTGTTCCAGCGCCATTTGTAACAAGGGACTCGAAGAAGGGGACTAAACATATTCCACAAGTCAAGTTGAATGGTGGCGCCATATTCTTATCTGTTCGTTTCTTCGTTCCTGGAATAACCAGACGCTAGAGATTGCCATTCGATTGAGAAATTAAGATTAAAAACAGAAACGATTGAATGTAAATTAGTTTATATACATTTATATTACATTATCTTAATGTTGTTTTTGAAATATTTTCGATGTAAGAGACGCCTGTGCATCGTTTTGCTCTTTCCGTTTTATTTCAGTCCGAGATGACGTATCAAATGAAAGATCAACTACAGTACAACCAGTCATTAAAAACTCGGGTAATTATGTATATATATATATCGATAAAACGCTTTTCTCGAGCTGTTATTTAAAGGGGTCTTATGGTAAATTAGATAAAGATCTGACAGTTCTCACTATAATAGTTAAATAACTAGATAATGTAAAGGGGATATGCTAAAAATTGCTCCACTCTGAACCGAGATATTAGCGATTGAATTTTAGGCCTTGTCCCGATCATCATTAGTGGAGTCGGTACGATAAAAACATAGTCTCGATTATCTATTTATGTATTTAATCAGCAATGAGCGTTGAGCAGCAGATCGGATTCAAATCCAGTGAACATCCGACGCATAAGATGGCATCGAGAGTTGATAAGGTCTTTTCATGTTAATAAATGTCTAATTAATAGTTTATATAACATTTCAGGCCTAAAGAAGGACATGCGATGTTTAATCCTCTAATAATCATTCAATCATTCTTATCCATAAGGAGGCCACAGTCACAGTTTCTCAGTGAGTAAAACGCATGCGCATCAACCAGGAGGTCCCAGGTTGGTTCCCGGCGCATGTCGAGACAGTTCTTTAGAATTATCAGCCGGGGCCCTTATTCACGAAAACTTAAACTAAGCTACAACCGAAATTTTAAGAAATACTGCAACTTCATTGGATATATGCAAATTGATTTTACTGGTCAGCCAATCGAATTGCAGTATTTCTTAAAATTTCGATTGTATCTTAGTTTAAGTTTTCGTGCATAAGGGCCCTGGTTTTAAATTTGTTTGTGGTTCAGAACGAAGCGATCTGTCAAGGAACTGCGTCTCGTTGTTGTGATTGTGTGACAAACATGTACACAATAACGTGCACGTAAAAGAACCCTTAGCAGAATTCGAGGATGAGTTGGTGGTTACTCTGTAAGGGATAAATTATTTGAATCGTATGTTTGTATTTTAGGTGAAATATCAACAAATCTATCATCTAATGGCACAATATCAGAAGTGGTAGATAGTGGTTTAAATACAGGTTAGTATCAATTTATATAACATTCCAATCTCCCAGACAGAGTTGTCTTTCCTTGAAGTTTCGACTGCTGGATAGTGAGACTTGTGTGGAGAACGAGTGCATCCCTGTAAAACTGTAGTACAGTAGCATATATGTCTTACATAGGGTTGTACCTAACTGGGACTGGGCAAATGTTCGGTTTCAATTGGTTACATATCTGTTTGGTTTCCAAAAATTATCTAATTCATAACATCCGGGAAATGATTAATCCCATTCTTACATGTAGTACTTTCTCATTTCTTTAAGAAACACTCTGTTGGATAGGCTTTTTAACAACCACAGTTGTTCATTATTAAACCTTTCAGTGTAACATTGGTTTCTACGTACACACTTTTGTTTTCTTGTTATTAGATATAGTATAAGTATAATGTCTATAGTCTGTTATGTCCACGTGACTTAAAGAGGTTCACGTGGATAATTTTAAAAACGTCATCGTAGACTTGTTTGTCTACCTAGCGAAAGTTAGTGAGTATTGCCACTGGTTGACGGAATCTAGAGTAGTGAACTTTGATCCCAATTGTTTTTAATCCAACCTGTTTCTCACCTTGGTATTATTATATCTACTAAAAGAGAAACGGTTTCAGACGAGTTATTTGCCCATGTGCTAGAAATCGGAATCAGATCAGTTATTTGATAATCTTGCTTACGAACATGGACGTAACAGACTTTGGACGTACATGTATACTTAGTCATATATTTTCCACGTGATAGGCGCCTGTTATTCGACCTGCAACGGACAGTATATTATATAGGTGTATCATTCCATTATGTAACGACAAATATAGCTTGCCACATCGGCGTACAGTCTATAACACAAGTTTAAGGACACCTTGTGAAATTGCCCCAATTTTGACAATATTGATTCGATCGAAGAATTCTAAGAGCTTGTTTGCCCTAACCCGCGTTCTGGATGATGTGAGGGATTAGCCAATGAAATGGTCTGTTACGGCGAGTTCTTGGCGTGCGTTACGACGATTTCTTGGTGCGTGGGTATCCCACTAGAAACAACAATGCTGATTAGGTAATCAAAAGTCTGACGTCATAGGGTCAAAACCGCCTCTACCTCCCAGTACAACTGGTCAGATCTTCATGTAGTAGAGGCCATAGAAAGTATAAAAAAAGCGAAACGAAATATAGATGTGTATTTTAATCTGATTGGTCAAATCCCGGACCAATAAAACGAAACGAAATATAGATGTGTATTTTAATCAGAGTAATTGTTTGCTGTAATTAATGTTATTTTATTTTATGGAAGGTGTTATAAATGGATCTGTTATAGCAGCGTTAGTTATGTTATTGGTCATTGTAGCAATTGTTCTAAGATGTAGCAAACATAAAAGGTAATTTAGACTCTACAATCCAACTTATATAGGCCTATATATAAAAGGTAATTTAGACTCTACAGTCTAACTGCTATTGGCCTATATATAAAAGGTAATTTGGACTCTACAGTCTAATTTCTAAAGGCCTATATATAAAAGGTAATTTGGACTCTACAGTCTAACTTATATAGGCCTATATATAAAAGGTAATTTAGACTCTGCAGTCCAACTTCTAATTTCTAAAGGCCTATATATAAAAGGTAATTTGGACTCTACAGTCTAACTTATATAGGCCTATATATAAAAGGTAATTTAGACTCTGCAGTCCAACTTCTATAGGCCTATATATAAAAGGTAATTTGGACTCTACCGTCTAACTTCTATAGGCCTATATATAGAAGGTAATTTGGACCCCCACATTCTAATTTCTATAGGCCTATATATAAAAGAGTAAGATTGTTCGTAAGTATGATCGTTATAAGAAAACAAAGGGTCCTTATAAATTTTAAAATAACTTCTCAGTGGTGCTATTTATTTAGTATCTAGTGCTTAAATTGAAAATAATTTTTAACAATTTGGCCGCTATGACTTAACACGGTTGGGGGTGGGGCGGGGGCGGGTCGTGGATGGCCGAATGGTTAGTGCGTGCGCGTTGTATCACGAGATATGTTATTGAGTCAACTAGCCTGGTTTCGGTTCCCCGGTTAGCAGTAGTAGTGTCGCCTGTTCAACCTCGAAAGTTTTCTCCTGGTCCTCCGGTTTCCTCCCACTGCTAAAGACCCCTACGCGCAAATGAAGTATTGAAATAAAATTAAACCATATGTTAGTCCCGAGATGACCTAGTTTGTGTCGAGTGGACGTTAAACGTCATTTCTCTCTCTCTCTGTCCGAGTTCTGGTCGGGTATCTGTTCACATGTTCTCGTAAACGCGTCAGAAAGGTAAACCCTGTCGAAAAACATTGCGTTTTTCCTATTATTATCAGAGTTATTATCCTTGCCGAAGAGACGTTAAGCAGTGTTTTCTAATTTTTATGTTTGTTTTTTCAGAAAGAAGAGACGCGTGAAAAAAACAAGTGAACCGGCGGAGAAAGAATCATTGAATAGTGTTGAATAAAATAAACAGAAACTATTTGAATACGTTTCGTGTCAATTGAAGAGGGATTTCTTTCAAATGGTTCAAAAGCCCATCAAGATTTGATTTAAAGAGAACTCCCTGAAGCCGAAACTGATTAATTATCTTCGTTGAGATTAACCCAGAGAAAACAAAATCATTGGTAAAACAAAATAATACATCATTTAAAGGATGAACCTTTGAACATTAAGTGAAACAGTTTACACCCAATAAGGTAATACTAAGACCGCCATGGACAACCGACACTGTCATACCTTCACGCATCTTCGTGTGTCTACGCATAGGAAAAGATAAAGGTTTATGTGAACACTGATATAATCTACCACCTATAAAGACCAAGAAGAAAAAAAAAGATCATTTGAATCCTGTATTAAATGACCTTCATTGTTCCGGATGAAAATAAAATGATAAATTTTCAAATACTGGCTATTCATAACATCGCACCTGTTTACCTACTATAGAACTCTTCGCTCAGGTAATAAAAACTTGGGACGAAAACAAATTTAAAAACATTTGGATCAGAAGCCCTCGTTTTTGGGAGGACAAAATGTTACATGCGTCAATTTTCTAAATTTTGTCGGTAAGACGCTGGCTCGCTAGCCTGGAGGTCGGGTGCTCGATCCCTGCATTGGCCGAGAAAGTTCATCCAGATTTTCCGGCGTGATTTCCCCTTGTCAGTGATGCAGGACAGAGGGCCTGACAAGGACAACTGTCTCTAGTCGTTCGGATGGAACGAAAAACCGAGGTCCCGTGTACATATTGGCGTGCACGTAAAAGATCCCTTGGCAGTTGGAATTCGATATAAGAGTAGGCCGTAGCGCCGCTGCCCTGGCAAAATTTCCCTCATAGGACACTGTATGGCGTATGCCCGTCTTCATTAGCCCAGTTTATTTCACTTCATTTCATTTCATTTCATTTGAAATTACCACTTGTATTTTATCCCCGCTTCCACCTAAGGTAATATCTCAGTTATTTTCAAAAAAGAAATTAATATCCCAAAAATCGTTTTGTGTGTTAAATTCTAAACATGTGTCAAATCAGTATCAAAACTGGGGCTGTCATCTCCACTATTTGTTAAGGCCAGCTCACTTTTTGTCAAGGTCGCTCAGATGTAAATAAGGTTAGGGCGGCGCGTGATTGTTGGCGAGATTGTAGGTTAGGTTTAAGAATGAAGACACATAAATACATACAGACATCTTTGATTTTATTTACATAGATTTAACATAAAGTAAATAGAATATACAATTCCTGCGTGAGCCGTATGAAATGAAAATGCATGCAGGGGTCCATAAGGACATCATTAAAATAATTCAACCAAAGAATATGCGTCTGATTGGTTCAGGCTGTGGTACATTTAAATCACCTATTCTGGGTTCACGCCGTCTTAATATTCGGTTTAATCTTCTATTCAGTAATGCGATTTTGGCGTCCACTACCGAAACACCTTGTTGAACCGTCTGCTGTATGGCCATTTCAAGATCGACAAAATCTGAAAAAAACAAATTTTAGCTTAACGAAATGGAGTTTAACGTCCTGTATTTGTGTACCAACTGGTCTAATAAAGACGGCCTACGCCATTAGGTAAATTTTGTCCGGACAGAAACTGAATTAAAACTGTCTAAGGTGTACACGCCAAGGTGTACATAGGACCTTGGTTGTTCGTACCTTCCGAACGACTAGACCGTCCCTCACCATCGACCGTCACTCGGCAAACCTCGGCTGTATGACGATACGTGATATGGGCGACACCGTTGGTAATCCCGCGAACTTAAAAGTAGTTCCAATGGCGGACTTCGTTATACAGCCGAGGCTAGATGTAGGGTACTGAAGTCTGCTGAGGTTTGCTGAGTGCAACGACCGTGATATACGACGCCGGAAAAATCCGAGGGACTTTCTCAGCCAACACTGGTGGAGGTTAGTGAGCCATGGTTTCATTAGATGAGCACGACACTCGGCAAACCTCGGCAGATTCCGGTACCCTACATCTAACCTCGGCTGTATGATAGTAATTGATATGTACCTACGCCCATACATTTGCGATGCGGCAACCGGTTTACTTTAATAGGAAAACGCGCCGCTTTTACAAAAAAGTCCCAAAATGGCGTCTTTTGTCGAGTGTATATAACTAAACGAGCAGAGATATTGTCTCAAGGCTGCTGGTTTGATATAATTCCCTGGTAATTCCCCAAACCCAATGCCAAACTTGATGTTTGTTGATATAATACACTCTCCACAGAAATCTCCATCCGGGACCTGTAAAATAGTTCCAATATGGCGGAATTCGTCATACAGCCGAGATTAGATGCGTAGAATCTGTCGAGGTTTGCCGAGTGATGAGCACGAGAAACATTATCAGCCATCTTTATTACTCTTTCATTTAAACTACAAATCAAAATAAACTTTTATCTAATTTCTAATTCTAATTTTTTTTTTCTAATTCTTTATTCAGTTACTTTGAGGCAATATGCCTACAGTATCAAAAACATACATGATATTTGTACAAACAATATAATTTACAAAATAATTCGATATAAATTAATATGTATATATAATTATCTTTATGCAGAGCATTATCAAAGAGCACTATGGTTGCAGGATTTCTGATCTTAGTTCCATCGCCTTACATATATAAATGGACAGAGAACGAACTATGCTTGAGTCTTGACATTTAAACAATTTGATAGCGTTTTCTTCGGTAGGGTGTTTTGTTAGCCATGTGGGTAGGAAATTGGCTCTAAGATCTTTAAGTATAGGACAGAATAATATAAAATGTAGTTCGTTTCCTAATTGTTTCCTGTTACAAATTGAACATATTCGCTCCTCTCTAGTAACATTATGATGGCGGCCTTGTTCAATCTCTAGATGGTGAGTTGAGCACCTTAAATTAGCAAGACAAAAACGAAGTTTATGAGATAGTGAACTAGATAAATACGATTCAGAATACATACTAGATTTGATCTTGTGGTAGAATTCACAGCGAGGGGATTGGGATATATAAGTTTGCCAGTTTCGGAAATTTATATCTCTAATCCGTTGCCTAAAGCATGTCAGAAACTGTTTAACGTCCCCTACACCCTGGTGCATCCACACATGACCAAAACCAGAACTAAATAGTATAACACGTACAGATGAGCACCAATTTAACCTACCATGCAAATCGTGTTCGTATAGCATCCGATAACATAATTTTGGCAATCTATTGTCGCTCATACTTTGAATAGTAAGAAAATATTTGATAGGTTTAATGACATAATTTACATATAACTCTAGTCTACCACATTCTGCTCTTGCAATGGCGTTTGTAGTTTTCATTCCTGTACACAAGAGCCATTTGCAGAATTTGTTTTGCACATTTTCTATATCAGGTTTAAGTTCAGTTCCCCATATTTCTGCACCATAATATAATATTGGACCAACCATAGAATCGAACAGTTTAAACGCAATTTTAACATTACGTTGACCAAGTTTAGATATACATAATTTTATACAATTTAATGCCTTGGTTGCTTGCAGAGATAGGGTTTTACAACAAAGATTCCACTTGAGTCTATTTGAAAATATAATACCCAAATATTTGTAATGGCTGACAACATCAATAAGGTTACCTTGATAGTACCATTTTTCATGTTTTGACAAAATACCCCCGTTCTTAAAAACTACAACTTGAGATTTAACTAAGTTTACTTTCATGTTCCATTTCGAACAATATGTATCAAGTATATCAAGTCTGTTCTGAAGTCCACCTATGGTATCTGCAACCAGTGAGATATCATCTGCGAAAAGCAGGAGAAATACATCTTCGACACATTGGTTTATAAATATGCCAGATCTACAGTCAGATCTCAACATGAGTGCAAGCTCGTTTATATAAATTCCAAATAACCAGGGACTGAGTATGCATCCCTGTTTCACCCCACTGAAGCATTCAAACTCTTCAGAACAGGTTCCACCAGCTCTTACTTTTGAGATTGTACATTTATACATATTATATAACAAATTATACATTCGTCCGTGCATGCCATTTTTGATAAGTAAGTAAAACAGTTTTGATCTTTGGATTAAATCAAAGGCAGTAGAGAAATCGATGAAGCAGCAATATAGGACTCCATTTTTGGATTTAGATAAATATTTCTGAACAATAGAATTAAGAACAAACATATTATCAACAGTGGAGTAGCCACGACGAAAACCAGCTTGTTCTTCAACAAGTAATTGGTTTTCATCAGACCATTCAACCAGCCTTTTGTTTAGAATAGAACACAATATCTTCGATACTATATCAATTAAGGAGATTCCACGATAATTTTCGGGGATGTCCCGGTTACCTTTTTTATGTATGGGGTGGATAATGCTTGTCGACCAGGACGTTGGAAATGTTCCACTGTTAAATATGCTATTGAAAAGCTTGTATAGTACTGGTAACAGTTGACCAGAGGCATATTTATAGAATTCTGGTGGTATCAGTGCCTCGCCGGCCGCTTTACCACCTTTCAGTTTTGATATTGCGCAAGATATTTCGTGATGTGTAATATCACGGTTAAGTTTGTCACAAGAAGTTATATCGGTTTCATAATCTGCGCTATTGCCATCATCAGATACATGGTCATTAAACAGTTCATCACTTTGTTCTACAATGGGATTTAATAAATTATTAAAGTGATTGTACCATTCGTCGATGTTAATATCGGGTTTATGTTCACAAGACTTATTTAGGAGATATTTTACATTCGACCAAAATTTAACCGAATCTTTTTCGTCGCATAGTTCGTCTAACACTGACTTGTGATAGAGGTCTTTTTTCGTTGCACACTCTTGCTGGAATGATAATTTAGATTCGAGATATTTATCGAGGTCATACTGATTATTTGTGATGCGGAATAAATTCAATCTATCACATTTTGTTTTCTTGAGGCTAATAAGGCTGGTATCAAACCATGGTGGCTGTTTACGATGGTCCGGCTGTTTACCAATCCGCATTCGCGACTTATCACCGACAGACAATAGTGCTTCATTTAGATGTTTGACCGAGGTTTCCAAGTCTGTATCGAGTTTCTGGAGTACGTCATCTAGATTATGTATGAACTCTGCACTATTAATGTTTGATATAAATTGTTCAACAAAACTTGGTTTCCATTTATACTTGACAATATGTGACGATGTATTTGTTGTGGTTGGTTTAACATTCGGACACAATTTTAGCTCACAGAACACTGGGAAATGTTTTGATAGGTCTGTTTCAAGAACGGAAAACGTACTTATATTAGGGAACAGATTAGGACTAACAATAACATAATCGATAGTGCTTGCACAACCTGGGGATACATATGTGAAGTTACCTCGATTATCGGGAGTTATTCGACCGTTTAGAATTATCACATTGTTTTCACAGCACAAATCCAACAGTTGTTTTCCGAAATTATTAATTTGCATATCACAATTGTGCCGTGTTGGTATCTTTTCTGTCGGAATGTGGTTTATGCGCATGATGTCATAACAAGCCTCCAAACTAGGAATGTGAGCACCGTTATCGTTTTCGACGAAGTCAACTCCCGTTCCAGTTCTGGCATTCATGTCCCCCATTATGATAACATCTGTATCTTCATAGATTTGTTTAATAGAAAATAATGCTGATTCTATTGTGGTAATATTGCAATTGATATCTTTATCATCATAAAAGATGGAGTTGACGGGTGGGACATAAACGCAACCTAAAATTAGATTTCTGGACAGTCCGAGTCTTTTTGTGTTGATGTGCAGCCATACCATTTCTTCAAAATCGTCGCGAACCAGAATTCTTTTTGTATAGATGGACAGGGCATCCTTAACGAGCACGAGTACGCCCCCAGAAGATTTACGAGAGCCACATATTCTCATACTGTCATATGCGTGGTATCCGGGGAACGTTTGTGAAAATTCTGTATTGGTTTTTTGAAAAGTTTCCACAAAACCAACTATATCATATTGTTCTATTATGGAGCATAAATCCTCATATTTCGAAAGTTTATATAATAGTCCTTCAATATTCCAAGAAACAATATTAAGAGTACCTTTGTGGTCGGGTGGTGGCTTTTTGTTGCTTGGTTGCTATTGGTTGAGTTGAATTATTTGTTTCGTTTCAAGGTCGAAAGTAAACACATTT